GATGAATTGACTTAAAAAGTTGTCTACTTGATAGCAAAACACCTATAATAACCAAATTCTGATGCCTTCACTGGTCATTATTTTCGGAGGACTTCTGCTACACTTCTTGCTATACTAGGGCCGATATTTGTGTTTTGAAGCAACATGGAGGATGGAAATCTTTGTTCGTGGCAGATGGATACGTGGAGCATTATTATTATATTATGATGTAATTCGAATATCAAATACCATTTCAGACTGTGAAATATAAGGATCAAATGCTATCACCCCTACGGCAGTTGCAGTTCAAGTCAAAAATGGATAGTCTTCCAACCCTAAAAACTACGATATTACGAGCCGAATCTGAATTATCTGTTCTAGGAAAAAATATTGTTCGTTATTAGATATACCCTGTATATATTATCACTGTATGATATCCAGCCTCATAAGCAAAAAGGAAGAACCTTGAGCTCACACTATACATTCAGATAATATGACTGCTGATGAAGGTATAAGTGAATAATCTGGAATACAGTGATTCTTGATATAGTCTTCGAAAAGTGCTCTTTGAAGAGACATAATAAAGAATTCAGCTTTCCGCTTCAATCAGAAGAGCACCATCGTTTTATTTGTTGATATATTCTCCCTATTAGAACTCTGATAGGTTATGGACTCAGTTTACTGAATTAATTTTCCGGTTTCGGATTCTGATATTGTGTAAATAAAAATAAACTTTGAATTGACTATGGATACCAATAAAAGCCGACGAAACATCAGAAAATTTGACGGTGAACGCTACAGTATTCGGAAATTCTATTTGAGAGCTATACTTACTGAAGAAGAACCTGATAGAAACTGGGAAAAGTTTGAACGCGTTGCCAAAAGTATTATCATCGATTATCTCAGCGATACAGTGATAAGTATCGTTACTAGAGAAACAACCGCTCGTCAAATGATAAAAAATTAGACTCCATGAAAAAAAACTTGCAACACAGTTATCAGTTCAGAAGAAATTGTGAAGCCTTAAATTTCGAGGTGACATGACATTATCTAAGCATTTCCTGATTTTCGACGAATTATCGATTGAGTTCATGGCTGCTGGAGGATATTGAACTGAAATATCTAAAATAGCCCATCCACTCCCCACCCTACCTACATCGTATGATGGTTTAGTAACTGCAATTCTACGTTGACAGATGATAACTTGAGTCTTGCATTCACAAAATCCAAATTACTCTATTAGGAAACAAAAATACTGAACGAACGTAGTTATACCAGTGGTGAAGTATTACACGCAGACAAGCATCGAAATAAAAAGTTTACTTCTCCAAATAAATACAAACAACACAACCAAAAGGTCAAGTTTCCCAACTCAACAACTGAAAGAAGTAATTTTAATCGGGAAAATGGAAGATCTAAAGGTCAGTTTCATTTCAATATTCTGAAGTGAAGACATTGTGGGCGTAGAAACCATACAATCAAGGACTTTTATTTTCACAAGAAGAAACAGTATAAAGGAGAAAAACCTCGTGAACGTACTTTACGAACAGTTCATACTGAACCAAATAGTGAAAAGGGTTTAGCCTTCATGGTGGGCAATACAGCTCTGCAAGTAAATGAATTGGAAAAGGATTTAACATTCATTTTGGACTCTGGTTTCACGGACCATGTGGTGAACCAGGCATATTTGTTCACAGCGTACAGACTGTTGGACAGTCCAATTGAAATATCAGTTGCGAAAATTGGTGTCTCAATTATAGCGACGTTAAAAGGAACCATCAATTCTGTATGCTGGGGAGATCCCATACAACCTTCTTTCAGTACTTCGTATTCATGAAGCTGGTATGACTGTTGTATTCGATGAATATAGCTTTGTTATCAACAAGGGTAACAAGAAGATAATTGAGGGTAAGCTCGAAAATAATTTGATTACTGTTACAGTGATGAACCATCAAAACACATACAAACAACAACAACATACATACAAATGTTGTTTCTGAAAAGATATTGAATGAATATAAACTTTGGCATGACCGCTTAGGTTATAAGAGTCAAGGAACATTTTTACAGTTGAAGAATATCGATTTTTCAAATGACAATAAAAATTTGAAGAATATTCAACCAGCACATAATATTTGTGAAGCTTGTATTCATGGCAAACGAGGAAACAGGCACGTTTGCCCTTTGCTGAAGCCAAAGATGAAACTCATATTAAAAGGCCATTATTTATTGTCCATTCAGATGTGTGTGATCCAATTTCTCCACCCACCATCGATGAGAAAAATTATTCTGCCACATTCATGGACGAAGAAGTAATGCACACTTCAATTCGAAATTAACAAATCTGTATTGCGATAATGGGCGAGAATACAGTTTTAATGAATTTTAAAACTATTGTATTCAAAGGGGTATTAGTTATCATTCGACTGTACCACATACACCAACCAGGACAATTACAAAAAAGGCCCGATCAATGGTACATGGTGCTGAGTTAGATAAGATGTCCTGGGGCGAAGCAGTCCTTACAGCTACTTATTTGATGAATCTAACACCTACTAAATCTCTAAAGCAGAATGATACAATTTTCGAAATGGGGCATAATAATAGAGAATTTGAACATTTTTGGTTCAACTCCATATATCCATGTCAAAGTTAAAAAAAGTGAATTTTATTAAAAATCAAATGAAAGCATAATGGTTGGATATCAACCAAATGGCTATAAAAAATTAGATACCCAAACTAATGAATTCATCATTGCACGAGATGTCATTTCTGACGAAACAAATTTCGGAACATCAAGACCAAAACGTGATGAAGGAGTTAATACATTGAGACAAAAACTTAATGGGGGCTTGGAGCCTGAAAACTTCATTTGCAATAAAATGCCTTAAACAACTCTGTGGCTAAAAGGCAAAAGGACATATCTCATTTTTTCTCCAAAATGAGTTATTTATACCAATCGATAGAGAATTTTTCGCTTTATCATTTGGCAAAACGATATATCTCTAGATGGAAGAATAGCCAATATAAAATTGCTAATAAGGACATAACTGTACGAAATGAATTAGAAGCAATCCAGCATAAAGCTATAAGACCAGTTAAAAGAAGCAAATTTGAACATGTGGGTGACATGAACCGACATATCTGAAGATGAACGATGCAGATACTGCTTGCATTTTGGTAAACACGCTTATTTTCAGATAATCATCGCATCATATCACAAAGTGCAATTGGGAATAGGTCATACATCGAGATATGTCTTTTTGCTCTATTTCACTCGGCCATGTCCCGACTATTTGTTTATGCGTATAACATCAGATGTGCCCTTTAGTCGTAATGAGACGAAGTCAATCGCTGCGAACGTCCATAATCTCGGCATCCGGAAGTGTATATCAGTGTATCTCGAGCATTCATTGAGTGTTGTTGTGAGGAACAAAACAGTTCGTACGATGAGTAGTAGAACGCAGAGAATTTTCGACGAATTGAAAAAAAAACAGGTGAGTTGATGTTTCTAAATATGTAAAATATCAGTAGCTGTATGAGATATTGAAATTGATGTGTTAATCATATATTATAATACCTATATCTTTATGTTGAAAAATCATCATATAAAAATTGCAGGATCAACCAGAAAGCATGTCTGTCAATCTCCGAACAGTGAGAATTCGTCTGAGGGTGGAGTTCAGGAGCAAAAGACGTATCACGAACTTGGGAATGGTAATAGTTCCAAATGATGAATAAGATTTGAAATAATATGTTACGTTGATTTCAGTATTCAATCCAGTTGTCCAAAATGAAACGAGCATATCCCAGTATTTTCATCAAAGTGCCATGATGCCAACTACAACTTACATTTTATCGCAATTGAGTTGCGATATGGATACAGATTGCAATATACCAATAAAAACTCGAACGATTACTGATAATCAATCGCATTTGGAATCCATTGGAATTGAAAATCAAAAGATTATGTCTACAACTGCCCAATATATTGATTTTGATTCAGATGATAGCGTAAAGGATCCTGATTATTCACCAGAAGTTGAATCATCTAATAATCAGGTCGAATTATCAGAGACTGAGGATAAGGAAAATCGGGATGGAAATGTAATGATTCCTCCTCGAGAAAACAGAGATAGCCAGATACATACCAAAAATAAAAATAAAGGAGCTAAAAAAGATGATAGAATTAGGAGAAAAGTGAACAAAAATTCCGGTAAGGAATACACCACCAAGTCTGGTAAACAAGTAAAGCAGAGACAAATGAAGGAATTGAAAAATTGTAGAAGAAGATGTAAAACCAAGATAACACTAGAAGCGAGACAAACGCTATTCACGGATTATTGGAAAATCGGGGACTACAATGGGAGGGCTACCTATTTGGCTTCTTTAATCAGCGCAGCCGAAAAAAACATCACAACAACAAAAAATCCAGAGAAAAAAACAAAAAATCGTCAGTTCACCTTCTCTTATTTCATAGACCTTGAAAATAATCGTATTCAAGTTTGTAAAAGGTGTTTCCTATATATATTTGATGAAACGGAGAAATTCATCCTCACTGTGACAAAAAAAAGATCGGATCACATAGTGGCATTATAGCAAAAGATCAACGTGGAAAACATGATCCAGCCAACAAATTACCAGCTAAGAAAATTGATGAGATGATTAACCATATCAATAAATTTTCAGCATATGAATCTCACTATTCCCGACGTCACACTCAAAAAAGATATCTAGCAGCGAATCTTACAAAAAAAATCCTGTATGACCTATATTGTGCGGAGGTAGAGAATCCAGTATCAATATCTTCATACAGTAAAGAAATCGATAAACTGGGGTTGAAATTTAAGAAACCGTATAATGATACTTGTCTGACTTGTGACACATTACATATGATAACAAAAAATTCAACATGTCAAAAAGAAATCGAAAACTTCAAGTCAGAACTTGTTGAACATCAAAATGAAGCGGATCAGGCTTATAACAGTAAATCTGTAGATAAAACTTTGACGAGTTCAAAAATGAAGGTATTTACCTTAGACTTACAACAAGTGCTACCAACACCCTATCTTCCAACTGGTGCAGTTTTCTATAAGAGGCAACTACATACTTACAATCTCACGATCCACCAATGCGATAATAGTATGTCAACTCACTACATGTGGAATGAGTACATTGCAGGACGAGGAGCAAATGACATTGCTTCATGCCTCTATGAACATTTGATGAACCTTCCACCTGAGATTGAGCACATTATCTTATATAGCGACACTTGTGGTGGACAAAATAAAAACACACATATTGCTGCTATGTTCACATACATAATTTCCATTCATCCAACTTTGCAGGTAATCGATCATAAATTCCTCATTCCTGGTCATACACATATGGAATGTGACTCAGACCTTGCCAAAATAGAGAAATTCAAGAAGAAATCCCCATTTCCTATCTATGTTCCTAGAGATTGGTATCAACTAGTGAGGGTAGCAGGGAAAGGAAAATTCAGTGTTGAGATAATGAGTCGCCAAGATTTCATGGATTTTGCATCTCTATTGAAAGGACCATATTGTACTAAAAAAGTCAATGAAGACGTGGAGAAGTTCCAGTGGAGGCCTATCAAGTGGTTGCGATATCAGAAATCAGAAGAAATGGGTACCATACTTTACAAACATTCGCTGGCTTGTGATGAAGCTTTCCGAAAAATCAAAAGGAAATCAGGAAAACGAGAAGAACCGCCAAGTAACATCATCGTTCCCCTTTCCTTTGAAGGACCAAGAAAAATTGACCCTAAAAAATGCAAGGATCTTCAGGATATGCTGCCGCTGATTGAGAATGATGCATGAAATTTTTATCAGGATATAATAAAAAATAATATCTCTAGATCGAATCTCAATGATTCAGATCCTGATGTGGATCGATATCTCAGCGATGTTGAGTTCTGATTTCTATACATACAGTTCGACTATATATTTTTTTTATTTTGCACTATCAAAAATAAAAGTTTTGTCTGTTCATGTTTTTTTTTTGACTTCAAATAACTCCACTTGTGCCCGAAATCGATTTCAAGTGGATTCGATCTACTCCTAACCAAAAGGCATAAATTCACATATGACATAATCAACCTAGACTTTTTTGAGGAATGCAGATTATATCTGGAGATAAGCCCTTTATTCAAAATGCAATTAACCAGTTTAGTCAGATAAATCATGAAAACATAAATATTTACCTAGAAAACTCAAATTTTCCTTTTTTTCATACAATTCATGATATTTGAAGTAAGAACTTATCGATTGAGATATCCAGAACTGAAAAAGTTGTTGAAATGTGGACGATATGGCCAAAATACATTCAGAAACTTCAAACGCCTGTACTGAGAAGTGACGATAATCGAGTTATGACCTTTTGCCATTCAGCCACAGAACTGTCAAAACGGTTGAAACCCCTATAAAACCTGTACAACATGAAACAGGTAAATCTATCACTCGAATAGATAAATCTTTCACCAAAATAGATGAATTTGTCATCAAAGAAATAACGAATACGATAGGATGAATTCGCAAAATGAAAAGCCTAATACTGAACTGAGACGGAGCGAAAGAATTGGTAATATACCTCCGATTTCATATATAACGGAGAAGCTTATACAAATAATTATATCATGTGTGCCCATCACTTATTCGTAAGTTCTTTAATCCTATAGTGAAATAAAATATAGGAACGATTATATTCAGTAGGAGCAGGCGATAAATGAGGAAATACATTCTTTATTCATCAATAATGCGTGGTCATTAATCGATCGACCACTTGACAAAAATAAAGTTGATTGTAAATAGATATTTACCATTGAAAATGATGCTTATGGTAATCCACAGAGGTATAAAGCACGGTTAAACTTTTGCACCAGTTGCTCTAATTTCAACATTTAGAATTCTAATGATTTTTGCTAATCATATTGATTATTGTTACACCAACTGGACGTTAGGACAGCTCACCTGAATGGTACTTCGAAAGAAAAAATGTCCATGCGTATACCTGATGGTTTTTGAGCTTAACGTTGTCTATATTTATTGAATAGAGGCCACCTCAATAGAAATATTCATGTAATATTATACGATGATGATTCATTGATTGCCACAGCCGATGAAGACACTATGATGAGTTTTAAAAATTATTTGAGCAGTCAGCTCAGTATGGAAGATATGCGAGGAGTGGAATTATTCCTAAGTATCAGAGATGAAAGAGATAAAGAGAAAATTACTCTAGATCAGAGTTCATACCTGTCATTTGATTCAAGATGACCGATTGCAAGTCATTTAATACACCATTGCCAACAAAGTTGACTTATCTCAACTTGAATTCTGATCAGACTTTTGATGCACCTTTTCGGAAATCGATAGGTTGTCTTGTTATGTACACGACCAGATTGATGTACAGCCATCGATTCATTGAGTAGGTATCAAAATAAAAATGATAGAGAATTATGGCAATGCCTTGAACGTATTTTGAGATACATAAAAGGTACATTGGAACTTGAAGTAGTCTATAAACATTATAATCTCAATCATATCATGATGGGATATGTAGATTTCGATTAAGATAACAATGAAACAGATCGAATAAGTACAACAGGATATATTTTGAAATTATTTGAAAATTGTCCAATGTGTTGGAATATTGAGCTGAGTATATGGCACTTTTTGAAGGTGTACAAAAAGATTTAGGGCTTAAAGCTATTTTGAAAGTTATTGACTTCAATATTACCGAGCCTATAAATACATATGAAGATAATACAGGTTGTATAGCAATAGCTAATAATCCTGTTTTCCATGAACGGTCAAAACACATTGATATTAAATATCACTTTACAAGGAAACAAGTTGAAAAAAATGTGATAATTTCAAAATATATTTCAATAAGTAACCAATTGGCAGATACTTTGACGAAATCTCTACCTCAATCAAGATTTCAGGAACTTCGTTTCAATGGGCTTGGAGGAAGTCAAGGACCAAACTCGTATTAAGGACAATTGATATACCCTGTATAATATTCAGCCTCATAAGCAGAAAGGATTAATCTCGAGCTCACACTATACATTCAGATAATATTGATCTAATTGAAACTGCCGATGCAGGTATCAGTGAATAATCTGGAATACATTGATTCTTGAAATAGTCTTCAAAAACTGCTTATTAAAGAGACAATAAAAAGTTCAGCTTTCCGCTTGTATCAAAATCACTTCATTGTTTTATCTGTTAATACCCCTTTTCTATTACAGCTCTTATATTCGTTTATTGGCTACGCCATCGATGTTATATAATGAATAATAAATTGAATTAGGTAGTGTGAATTTTGTTTCACAGTTTCAAAAAGTATCAATTGTTGAACATTCAGAAATAAATGAATTGACTCGTACACGTTGTCAAAGTAATGTGAAAAAATCAAGAAAATTCACTTTTCGTATCATCTCATATCATTTTATGACGTTTCTATTAAACTTATCATCTGGAAATTAGCGAAAAAGCTGAGTGTCGACAAATATAACAAGTCACATTGTTTAATTGGCATTCTAACCAAATAATTTGCAAAGATTTTGAAAATATATTGAATTATTCAACTTTCAACCAACTGTTCGCGTTATTCGCGTTTCATTCAAGTAATTCGATAATCAACAAACTCCGTATATTACCTGTAATATATACACAACGATACTTCTTGCATACTCCACCCGCTGCCCACTCATTATACTGCTTGGAATTGAAAAAAGCAGCTCTTCAAAATACAATCAACACTCAAAACTTCATACCAAATCAAACCACTATCACGATGCACAGATCTTCGCACTACTGGCTCAACGCTGGAGTGTTTTTATTTTATGATCCTCTTCTGACTGGAGATGGGGTACCTGCAAGTCATTAAATGGCATTCAACTGTGATTGATCGTTCATGGAATGGGGTGGAGGGTAAGGAATTTAGGTAGATACCTGGAAATGATAGGGAATTTGATCTAATTTGAATTATTCGTGTAAAGCAGCGACTTTTAATATGGATGGGACCTTCTCTTATCGCACAACATTTTTCAAACATTTCTTCACTATACATGGCTTCCTTAATGGACACTATATTCCGTTAGTTTTCTGTCTGTTAAAAAATGAGCGTGAAGAAACACATCGCGCATGCCTGTCAAAGATATGATTTATGTGACAATTATGATCTAGTATTTTCACCAAAAAGAGTAGTAGTTGACCTCAAAATTTCAATTTATGACATTTCAACTCAAATTTGGACAGATATAAAAGTTACTGGCTGTAGGTTTCACTTGACCCTAGCATGGAACCGTCAAATACAGAAACTTGGTTTGACACAATCTTATGAAGATGACAAGTCAGATGTTGAAAGGCTGCTCTATTGTTTTGGGTACATCTTTTTAGAACCCAGTGAAGTGAATAGATTTCAATTTTTTTGAGTCATATGAAATTAGTCCTCTAGATTCAATTTTTTCAAAATTTTCAGATTATCTTTTTGAAAATCAAACTCTGGTAGAAGTCCATATTGCTCAAAGTAGAGTGAAATATTTCAAAGGTAGGACGGAATGCTCGAAGTAATCTCCATAAACTCAAATGATGTTACATTTTAATAAGGGACATGTTTCGGTCTTATCAAATACCATCTTCAACCTGACTGAATTGAATAGTATATGTTGTTATTTCTCTGTGTATAGTTAGAGTTACATCTTGTGATAGCATTAGACTTGAAATTACAGTGAAGTGAGAAACTACTGATTACCCAAGGTTTACTTCAAGCATCAGTGCTGGGCCCCTTGTTGTTTATACTTTATACCAATAATGTTCCTGAAGTTATTGATGAGTATATGGTTCGATATGCTGATGAGTGCTCGATTATAGTCAGCTCTGATGATCGACAATCAATAACGATGCGAAATCACTAGGTATTTGAGTACACTGAAGAAATATTTCACAATGCATAATCTGAAGCTGAGTACTAATAGGACCCAAATGATTCCCTTCGCACAAAAAAGTGATAAGGACACACTTTCCTTGAATCATGTATCTATACTTCCTTTTCTAGGTATCACGCTTGAATCGAAGCTGCATTGAAAGAGCAATATTAGGGAACTTTATAAAGAGATATCGAGATATCACTATGAATTGAAAGTCATCTCACAAGATATATCTACAGATGCAGCTTTGCTGGCATATTATGACTATGTACAAAGTTTAATTAGATATGGTATCATTTTCTCGGAACATCTACCGATGTTAATAGGATATTCATACTACAAAAACGTTGCTCACGAAACATTCTCAATGATTCACAAGCAGCTAGTTGTAGGTCTATATTCGTGGATAAGACAATCCTTAGTTTGATTCATGAAGCAGTCATATTTGTAACTGAGAATATGGACCTTTTCACATGCGATGGTGAAAAACAAAGTTATATTACTCGAAAATAAAAACAATCTTCTGAATTTCAGGTCCAACCTTGTATATGTACAGAAAAATATTCCTCATATATATCATGAATATTCAGATTTTCAAGGCCTACTTTTGGTTGTTGAAGGGGTCAAAATTTCAATAACGACTATTAGGCAATTTTTTATCAGAACTGTGATAAGCCTATTCGATTCAGGCATAGCAAAATCTCATAAGGGGATTCATATTTTTTTTCTGGAAATATGGATAATGGTGTATAATTCAAAGAAATATTCTCTATACATAACAATTTCCCTCTTATTTTGCCAAAATCGGTATATTATTAGGATCACATTGAGTATCAGTAAATCTCCTTGCAGGCTTTGGAGAGTGTTTGTATGTCATTCTATTCT